TTGTTTAAGCACAAAATAAAGTTCAGTCCTTGTGGGTCTAAGCTGGTTTAGAATTTGTGGGGTTTTTCTGCTCCAGTGAGAGCGCAGGCCCTCATTTGGTGTTAAGAAACAGTTTGTTAAGAAGAATGCTGTGTGCCAACTATGCATTCTTAAAACCTTTCTCAAGGCTTTTGATTTATTAAATTCTGTCACTAAATAATAATACTTTTTTTTGCTTTTTCTCACACTGGGCCACCTGGTAGGTTTTCTCTACTCATCGGTGATGCCTTACATTTTTGCTCTTTATATAGCACAGGCACCTTAGAGTTGAAAAAATGAAATCCCCCAAGGGGTCCTTCAAAAACCCGTGAGTAGTCTAAAGTAGCTATAGAGAGTCTTACCAACATATTTAGGTTTTAGAATAATCCAGCACATCAGGTAAAGAACTGTAGCTGAATTAAATAGCAAAGATCAGCAAGGTATTGAAAGATCTAATCTCCCCCTTCTCAAAATATTTTGAAGAATGTTAAGGAAACAACTCATTAATTTTTGCCCATTTTTCATACTGCGGTTATTAACTAAAGGTGATGATGTATGTAATTATTTATTCTTAGTCCAGTGTTCCGCTCATACTTATGCTTGAACTTTGACTGAATTCTTAAACAAGCTGTCTGAGGGAACAGAGTTTCTAATTAGGAATTTAGCTGCTGTTCATGGATGAAGGAACTTTTAATAATCATTCCAACAAAACATATTTAAAGGGAATCTTTCTCCAGTAGTGCATTTAGAAATGGGACATGGAAATAATAAAACGGTGTTCCATTTTCTCTGAACATAAACAGAACATTATTAGCATTATTAAAATAAAGCAACTCTGCTGAGGCACTTAAAACACTTTTATATTTACTAATGCAAAAATATTATGGTCAGCTTTGCAGTTTAAAGCTAGAAATGTGTGAAATACATTACCTACCTAATGAAGCATAAAGCCAACAATTTTGGATTTTCCAATGCTACAACCCCCATTGCTGACTGTCACACATCCATATTTACACTGTATTTCCTGATAGTTCTAGCAGCATATCTGCTAATAAGAATGAATAATGTATTCCAGCTACTGTCTTCCTCATCTTTTTCTCTTGTTCTGGTACTTTCAGAAAAAAACTTATAAAGGTTTTCCTTGTCTCTTGGATCTTACTAAGGTGAAAATCTTATGATTACTTCAAATATGGCAAAATTCCTATGCATAAAACATGAAGACTAAAAAAATGGCATCCAGGTTCTGTAGACTATCGTGTTTCATTGTCATCATCATTGTCTGCTTATTTGTATGCCATTTCCCCAGAAAAGTGTACACAAACTGGCTCACAACATATCAAATGAATAAAAATAAGGGCATTCTATGACATTTGAAGCAGCCCTTAAGTCTTATCTGAAAACATATAAAGGCCATACATTTCCTCTTTCTTTCCTAGATTAGTAATACAAGATTCCACAGCTAACCCTCTAACTGGGCTTTTCACAGGTAACCTGTGAAGAGATGTGCATAGAATATTTTCTGTGTATATAGTTATTTATTAATTGCTTTCCAAGATGATGTGCAAAATATAATAAAAAATGCATAATCTTTAAATGTTGTTCATGTTCTTAGAATTCTGCTATGAGAGTCATTATAGTAAGCAAGCAAGCAATGGGGTGCTATCCAGATGTTATGGAAAAGATCTCTCATTAGCCATGGCCACTGTTTATGCTGGCTGGGACTTATGGTAGTTGTAGCCCCAAACATCTGCAAAGCAGCATGTTGGCTATCCCTTTTTAGGTAAACAATATCTGATGATGGTCTTTCAGCAGAGAGGGCAGAGAGAAACAAATGGTCTTTTATGTCACTTTGGAAAGTTAGAAAAGCCTCACATACACTTCTTTTGCTAAATAAATATCTCTCTCTCTCTCTCTCTCTCTCACACACACACACACACACACACACACACAATTATAAAATCGTTTAAAACATCTCACATTGTGTTGGAATACTCTCTGAAAAGCCATCATTTGTATGTCACCATTTGATGGCATACATACTTACAGAATCAGGCACTGTTAAGATGTGCCTGCCTTTTCAAAATCTGATCTTTAGGAAATTAATGGTTTTATCATTTAAGATTTAATGAGCAATTTTTTAATGTACAACAATTCACATGAAAAAACACAGTTTAGAATGCACCTATGAGAGCAAAGTGATGGAGAACATGTCAGAGATGACACCTGGTACTGTTTATCACTCACAACATGGAAATATTTACATCACAAGACAAATCTCTTTGGCAAACTAGAATAAGCTTTGCCCTTTAAAGGACTGACTGCAGAGCTGAAATATTTCCTCACTTGTCATAACATTTAGATTAGCATCTGCTAACTTTAACATGCACCTTTTATATGAAAAGTAAATATTTTACAACAGATAAAGTGTTCAGAATGGATTAGGGGCCATCAATTCTGATTCCTGATTAGTCACTTAAATTACTTTCAACCATCATTTTTAAATTGGGCACCACAATAATGGAAAATGAGAATGGCCCCTGGATTTGTGAATAAAAAGGTAAAATATATAACCACATATTTTGTTTTTACAGTTGTACCTTGGTTGTCGAATGGAATCTGTTCTGGAAGTCCGTTCAAGTTCTGAAAACATTTGACAACCAAGGCGCAGCTTCCGATTGGCTGCAGCGAGCTTCCTGCACTCAATCGGAAGCTGCGGAAGCCATGTTGGACATTCAGGTTCCAAAGAACATTCGCAAACCAGAACACTCACTTCCAAGTTTGCGGTGTTCGTGAGCCAAAACATTCGAGTCGCAAGGCATTCGAGATCCAAGGTACAACTGTATTATTAAATGTTTTAACATGAAGTGGTTGTCCTAAAACAGTTTACAGAAATCTTTCTTTCTTTTAGAAAAGAAGTTAAAGCTCACCATTAGTTCCTTACTATTGCTGGAGTGATATTTTAAACTCTCAGCCCACCCTTCTAACCAACCTCAAAGTGAGTTGGTCCTTGTCCTGACTACATACATCCCATTCTTGACTCTTGATGTGCTTGGCTAGTCCTTATTAGATGGGCTCCAGTCTAGAATACAACAATGAACAGCAACAATCTCTTAAATAACTTGTTTTTAATAAAATAAAATAATTTTAGTTTTGGACACTAAGGTTACCTCAAAGAAGGGAAATTAATTTATTATCATAATGATCTTGTATTGGGTCGGGCAGGAAGAGCAGATTCAAAGGTAATGCAGTAAGTGAGAATTTTCTTAATACACCCCCAATAACAAAGTGAAGCATAGCCTGACCCACTTCATTGATTACAACATTGCTTTCCAAACTGTGGGTCGCAACACGTTAGTGTGTCTGCTACAGTGTGTAGGTGTGTCGTGTGAAGTCTACCCACGCTTCTCCTGGGGCTGGAAACGGGTTAGTTTAACCTCCGATGTGCTAGTAAAACTTAATTACTGTGTCACAAAAAAGAGTGTGTCACCAACATGAAAAGTTTGGAAACTCTGGATTACAACATTAATATACAGTGTATATGTGTGTGTTCATATTGCTATCATGAGAGCAATTTCATATTTACAGTTACATAATTTTTACTGCTTGATAAACTATGGCTATTATGAAGTTTAATCACACATAATTGTGATGCATTTCTTAACTCAGATCATCACTTAATGGGAAGAAGGCTGGAATGAGATAAAGAAAGCACTGTTTGAGATAACATATCTGTGACAGTGGCTACATTATCAGTAACAATGTGACAGTAGAGTTTATCATAAAGCAGTGACTTTAGAATTTATCATGCTCATTGTGCTGACAGTATTTAATTTCTCCAACAGAAAGAGATGCTAGGATAACCCTCTGGTTTGGAAAGCAATTTTCCCTAATCCCAGATGTAAGTGAATGTGCATATCTCAGCTGAATTTGTATATTCTCCAGCCATTATGCACAATCTCCAACAAGCCTTGGGAAATGTGCATTCAGTGGCTGGATTTTGTATAGGATCAGAGATGCTTCACACACTCATTTCCCTATTAGGTAACTCTTCTTTAGCTGGATAAACTTCCGCCCCCTGCTTACATACCCATGATGACGGACTCCATGGTCCAGCACCAGTGTGTGTGTGTATCAAGGAGAGAAAGGGTGTACATTTTTCCTCTCCCCGGAATTCCCCCTGTAACAGACCTGGTAACAGCTGAGATTTGTTAAAAGGGGTCTGGACTCCCACTGCTTCTTCCTGCTGCTTGGCTGATCAGTGGTAGGTTATGTTGTTGGTCATTTACGATCTTGCAGTAGGCCATAAGCAGCTCTGATAACCTCTAGCCTGGATTACTGTAAATTGTGGGGCTGCCTTTGAAAATGGTTCATAAGCTCCAGTCAGTACAGAATGCAACAGTCAAGATGTGAACATACAACACCAGTTCTGGCTTGTCTGCATTGGCCTCCCATTAGTTTCCAGACTTATTTCTGGTTTTGACATTTAAAGCCTTATATGGGTCAGGGCCCCAATACCTAAAGGATCACCCTCTTCCCAGACGAACCTGCCCAGAAGTACAGAGAGTGGTGAGCAGAGAATAGTCCTTTTCCATAATACCCCGACATCTTTGGAATGTCCCAGGCCTAGCACCAACTTTACTTACATTTCAGTGCTAGTTATAAATGCTTTTAGTTAACCGGACTTACGTGCAGCTTGAATGATACTGTTGTTACAGTTACTCAATCCAGGTTTTAGTGTGCATTTTTAATAATATTACATCCTGTTTAAATATGAATAAAACATTTTTAAAGTTTTATTGTATTATATATATCATAAATTGCTTTGAGGCTTTTTAGCATAAAGCATTATATAAGTAATCAATTAGAGCAATCAAATCAGAATGACAATATTTCCTATGAAGCACAACTGAACTTGAATAATTGTAATTATTTGCAGATTATGTGTAACACATTTATTTGAAAGTCTGTATAGTCTTTCCAGTTTATACGTATATAGTCTTACACACACACACACACACACACACACACTTTAAATCAAATCCAACACGAATTGGAGATTTATCAGAATTACTACATCAATAGTTCTGTGAAAGCTATAAAGTCCAAGTTTCCTTTGTTTCTTTGGTTATATATGTTTGGATTTAAATATTTTCTGGTGTTCAATTGTCAAAACCTGTGAGAAAGAGATATGGATAGCACTGTGACAGTGGTGATGCTTATTTCATTAAGATACCATGATCAACAGCAATGCTGTAATTCACAGTGGTGGTTTCATATATCCTTTTGTGTAAGTGAATGATAGGTTGAAGATTTTGCTATAAAGCTGTCAGACAGCAAGTTTTTCAATAAAAGTATTTTTATTACTATATTGCTCTGGATTGAGACACAGCCTAAAATGTTTTGCAGTATACTTGAGCCAAAGCTCTTTTTAGCTAGTAATATATTGCTAGGTCTATTTAGATGAAAACTACAGAGTTTTGTGTAAAAAGTTATTAAAGTAGGTATGGGATGTGGCCCAGCTAGCGATCACCTGCTAGTTCACATAAGCATAAACATAATTAACCAAATATACACTAACACTGGATGGTATTCAACGAAATTTTACTTACAGCAGGTCTAATGAAATTAATGGACCCAACTAAATCATGTTCATTAATTTCAATGGATCTAATCAAAGTAAACCTTTGTTGAATGCCACCCAATGAACTCCATAAATATGGAGCAATAAGAGAAAAGGCACAAAGATGTAAAACAAAAGAATTTGTACATATTTAACAAGCAACAAAGATTCAGAAGAACGCAAAGACTCAAAAGGTGAGTCTACAGAATTGAAAAATGGAAAAAATAAATTGGTGTTAGAGAATGGATATATTTAAAGCAAATACTCTAGTTTTAAAGGCACTGCAAAACCAAAAAGGTTAACAAATGCAAATAAATCAAGAGCAGAAAATCATAGTACAGGAGCCCCCCTCCTTGCCCACTTATGTGTGACTGACTCGCCTGCAACTGCGTATGTGTGTAGTGCTGGGACATAATTAGATTCAAACCCAGAAATGGCGGGAGAAAGCTGGAGAATCCTCGTGGGTCATGAGAAGACCCTCCCCAGAGCCTGAAGAGGATGTCAATGAGGGCGGAGGAAGCCCCAAAGAAATCAGAGGCGCAGTGTGGCCTCCTCAACTAACAGCTGGTGTGTTCTGTAGCACAGCAGCAAGTTTCCTGTATGTCCTCCAGCCTCCTGCTGGTCTCAGAGCTTCAATTCTAGTTGTGGATATTTTTGGATACAGTATTTTTGGTATGAATTGAAGAGAGAGACAGAGGGTGTTTAAGGGGTGTTTAGAGTGTGCTCCCCACTTTACACAATTTCACATATGTGTAGGGTCTTATGGGAAACCATAACTGAGAGAAATTACACAGCCTATGCTTTTCGCAAATATGTGCAATGGTCTAGCTAAACAGACCTTATCAAAAAGAGTAGAAGATCATATCAGTTTGCTAAGATTTATTTTGTACATTAGAACTTTGTGACTGAGATCAACCACTCTCATATAGGGAATGCAGTTCTGGTGAATAATGTGTATTTATTTAATTTGTTTTCCATGTTTAATAAATAGTTCCAGTGACAACCTTTGCAACATATTAAGAAAAATAACCCACAAATCTAAATTATAGCATCATTTAGATAAATGTAGTAGCCTTCTCCTTTAAAAATGTCACACTCACATAGTTATCATATGATTTCATTATGCTTCTCAAGTAGACTGATTACTCTTGTGAGTGCTGATTTGAAATCAATGCATGGCAAAGAATAATAGCTAACTCCAGAAGAACTTTCATCAGCTAAGGCCTCCAACAATCACATACTTGGAGAATAATTCATTAAATTTGAGTGGCAGAAAGTTACAGCAGTATGGATTTTCAATTCTAAATAAAATGCAGCCATTAAATTCTTTTGAAAACACACCCTTTTTGATGATAGTATATTAACTACAAGAAAATCAACAAAATAGCGTAACTTAATATGCTCTTTTAAATAAGTTGCATAATTTTCAGTGCTGTAATAGCACCAACGCATAGAACTAAGAACTTAGTTGAGAGACTTACAGATGTGTGAGAAGTTTCCTAGTCTTAAAAAAGAAAGAAAGAAAATGCAGCGAAGGTGGAGCTGTGTATATGACTGAACAGAGGCCAATGACTTCTCCTATGTTAGTTTGTTCATCAAAATGCTCCACCCACAAACCTCCTTTCTGTCCTCTGGTAAAAAAAATATGGGGACCTTCTTACTTCATGGACAGTAAAGCTGTTGGGAGTGATTTTGGTCAGAAAAGCAGCCCAAGGGGAAAGGAATCAAAGCAGCTTCCAGAACTATTGAATGACAAGAAGTGAATTCTTATGAATCTCTCAGCAGCTGGCAGCTGTAGTCTGGAATCAAGCTGTGTTGACTTCAAACTACAGGTGCAGCATGCTCAGCCATATTAATACAGATAGCAGAAGCCAGCACCGATTACCTATTCAGAGAGCCATATATAATTGTAGATTTGGAAGGGACCCCAAGTGTCATTTAGTCAAACCCCCTGCAATGCAGAATCCTGCCCACAGCCATCCCTGGGTGGGCTTAAACCACCAACCTTCTTTAAGGTTAACAACTTGATGTAGTTATGGCAAGGATAAGAAATGTTTGGCATGTGGAAGAGTAATCAGTAATACTAGAACGCATAATTGCAATATATTTTATTAAACATGGGTATATGGAGTCACAGACACATATGATATATAAACATCCAGAGTAAGGCAGATTTTGCCCCCAAAATCCTCTCCTGGGGTAAGAGGACTTGCAGGAGTTACCTGGACTGTGGTATGGGGGCCTAGCTGAAATTTAGGTAAAATGACTTGTGTGAGTGGATGTCTGCCTGCACAAGCTGCCTTTGTCTGATTTTCTCCTCTCACTGTAAAGGTAAAGGGACCCCTGACCGTTAAATCCAGTCATGAACGACTCTGGGGTTGCGGTGCTCATCTCGGTTTACTGGATGAGGGAGCCAGCGTTTGTCCGCAGATAGCTTCCGGGTTATGTGGCCAGCATGTCTAAGCTGCTTCTGGTGAACCAGAGCAGCATACGGAAACGCCGTTTGCCTTCCCACTGGAGCAGTACCTATTTATCTACTTGCACTTTGATGTGCTTTCGAACAGCTAGGTTGGCAGGAGCAGGGACTGAACAACGGGAGCTCACTCCGTCGCGGGGATTCAAATCACCGACCTTCTGATCAGCAAGCCTAGATCTTTTCTGAGGATCCACTAATTCCCAGAAGAGGGTTTTCAGGGGTAATGAGTATTGCAGTACAGAAGAGAGGTCAGGAAAGCCCTGTTGTGTGAATGGCCTTAAGCTCACTTTGATTTTTTGGATACAGCCTAGTATTCTTACAGACGTAAAATAATAGGCATAGAAAATCCACTACTTACTTCGATCAGTAATGACTGTTCGAGCCTCTTGATTGCTAGTTTTATTTTTCAAATTCTGTGCTGCTGTTATTAACTCTTCCAGCTGAGGGCGCCTTTGTTCCAAGTCTTGTAGTGTTGCCTAAAAGCATAAATATGTATTTATATATATGCCATGTTTATATTCAAAACATATGCATAAAAGCACAAATAAATATTTATAGTTACACCATGTTTATATACATATGCATAACCAGTTTTCTAGAACTAATGGACCACAACAGTGTCATCGACGGTAGTCACTTCTGTGAGTTTTGGTGGCAAACCAATTCAACCACTAGCAAAAACTCAAATCCATGTAAAAATGTGTACTGAATTCTCATTTAAACAAAAAGGCTGCATACTGTAACGCAGACAGCGGTGGTGATTGTGGCCTGGCATAGTTGCTGGGGAATGAGGGGGTAGAGGCAATTAGCCCACAGTTGACGTCAGCTTTGGCATTGGTCAGCTTTGGGGGGCTGGTGGGATTGCTCACCAAAATTTAAAATTTGATCAGGCCAATTAGGGCCCGGTGGGTGATACTCTGGTGATGGACCTGGCAGGGCCAGAATTCTGTGGGGTCTGCCAGCCGGGCATAAAAGCCAGGTGCACTTCCAGCAGACAGCACAGTCAGGAAGAAATAATCCCACATGTATGCTATGGCAGCCTGGAGGTAAGCGGGCTCATGTATGCCCTTGCTGTGGAATTATTTGGTTGCCGTATTCGGGGCCAGCGGGAAAATTGCCTGTGGATGTATTGGACATGTTTGGGAGTTTTGTCTTCCTCACAGCAATTGTCACAACTTTGGGCAGAAGTGGTGAGGCATACTGGAGTTGAAGTGCATCAATCTTGCTTGAAAGAAGGTGAACAGGTCAATATTTCAGACAGTATCCTGGTTCGGTTGAATGGGTAGATTATTTGCCATCCTGCCATCACCGCTGTCAAAATGAACTTGTATTGGCCTTATGATCTACCCCTGTTGCCTGCAGGCAGTGAGGCTTGGCTGATGAACATTTACTGGGGCCTACGAGATTGCAGATGTGAACGGTTTGGCAGCAAGCCAGCTGGGAGGGTTGGGCTCATGTAGCAGAAAAAGGCATTGGGTTGGATCCTTAGTCTAAACCTGGGGTTGGATCCTTAGTCTAAACCTGGGGTGGTGGTGGGGGTGCTGCACCCCCCAAATCCAGGATAAAACTCAGGTACCCCAGGAAGGCCAGCATGACCCGGAAGCTGTACGCTGGCCTCGGCCAATAAAACAAGATGAGCACCGCAACCCCAGAGTCGGTCACGACTGGACCTAATGGTCAGGGGTCCCTTTACCTTTACCCCAGGAAGAAGACTAAGGTAGGCCATAGAACATCCCTGAATGGTGTCCTGGTGATATTTCCACATTAGATCTGTGTCAATGTGAGGAATCCTTTCACCAGGATCAACACTAATGGAGTTATCAGGCTAGCTGATTCAGTATACATAGGCAATGCCTATGCCAAATCTAATTTATATTTGTAATCAACAAAAGTTATGGCTATTTCAAGCCCAGGCAGGGTATCATGTCTCTCTTACAGTATACCAACCCCCTCCCCCAGTAACCACCGGCTTGCAGTGCTGTGGCCCGGAATACCCATATATAAATACAATAGATAATTATAACATATATGTGT